TGCGGTGTCGCAAGATACAGGATCAAGGTCATGATGGCATATACAGTTTCCAGCAAAACATCGTCTGATCGGCATAAGTGAGATTGACATGGTCACCTGACCAAAAGAGACAAAAAGACATTGCACAGGATTTTGACCTGGAATAAAAAAACAACTACTGCAAAAGTGACTGTAGAGCTCAATCTCAGTTTTCCAAAGCCCATGTCCACAAAAACTGTGTAGTGGGAACTCCATAAGCAAAACATTCATGGGAGAGCTGCAATTGCCAAACCAATAATGACTGATATTAATGCTCAGAAGAGGACCGAGTGGTGCAACATCCATAAATCATGGTCTATCGATCAATGGAAGACTGTATAGTCCGATGAACCAAGTATCACCCTGTTCCCAAGCACTGAAAGTGTTCACCTGTTTTGAACACCGTCCAAAGCTTACAACCAGGACTGTCTTGTGCCAATGGTAAAGCATGGTGTTGGTGCAATCATGGTTTGGCAGCCATATCTTAATCTTCTGCAGGCCCCATCATCACCTTGAAAGGTAGAGTCACTGCCAGCGACTATGTACAAATTTTGGCCAACCATGTACAGTACACCCCATGGTGCAGAAATTGTTTACCAATATGATAATGATCCGATTCACACAGCTAGTATTCTCAAATCACTGTTTGACAAGCATGCAGATAAAGTCTTGCACCTTTCGTGGGGTGCCTCAGTTGCCAGATCTCTATCATAGAAACCACTATGGTCAATTTTGAAGAACGAATTTCACGCTTGTTTTCTGCCTCCGTTTTCGCATGAAGAGTAGTATCAGATTTCATTATCCACCATCCAAAACTTATATTTGTCAGCAGTCCAACACCATGTTAAGTAACAATTTTGTACAATCTATATACCGTATATACTCGAGTATAAGCCGAGTTTTTCAGCACATTTTTTGTGCTGAAAAACGGCCCCTCGGCTTATACTCGAGTCAACGTCTGCAGATGTCTAGCAGGGGGCACTGCTTCTAAAGCCAGTGCTTCTCAAATAGTGGGGCGCGCCCCCCTGTCAAGGGGGGCGCGTACAGGGGTGGGCAGAGGGCTGCTGTCTCTTACCTGGCTCCCACGATGATCCATCCAGGAAGCGCTTCTCCTTCCGTCCCTCCGGCCACTCCCTCACTCCTGCCGCTCGGCTCCGCCTCCTCACCGGTGATTGGCCGCCAGAACTGTAGCTCAGGAAAGGTACACAGGCGGCCAAATCACGGGCGAGGAGGCGGATTTGAGCGGACCCGCGAAAATCGAGTGAGGGAAAAGCCGGTAAGTGTGCAGTGCAGAGGTGCTGCTGCAACCACATATGCTGGCTGCAGCAGCACCATACTGCAACAGGGGTCAGCAAGTGTCATTGGTGTCAGTGGGAGGAATAGTGCCGCATCATTGGTGTCACTGATACTAATGATGGGGCACTATTCCTCCCACTGACACTAATGATGGGGCATTATTCCTCCTACTGACAACAACGATGGGGCACTATTCCTCCCAGTGACACCAACGATGGGGCACTATTCCTCCCAGTGACACCAACGATGGGGCACTATTCCTCCCACTGACACCAACGATGGGGCACTATTCCTCCCACTGACACCAACGATGGGGCACTATTCCTCCCACTGACACCAACGATGGGGCACTATTCCTCCCACTGACACCAACGATGGGGCACTATTCCTCCCACTGACACCAACGATGGGGCACTATTCCTCCCACTGACACCAACGATGGGGCACTATTCCTCCCACTGATACCAACGATGGGGCACTATTCCTCCCACTGATACCAATGATGGGGCACTATTCCTCCCACTTTTTTTTTTTTACATTGACTAGGTGCCTCATTTCCCACCCTCGGCTTATACTCGAGTCAATAGTTTTTCCCAGTTTTTTGTGGTAAAATTAGGTACCTCGGCTTATATTCGGGTCGGCTTATACTCGAGTATATACGGTATATAAATCTCTCTAATATATATATATATATATATATATATATATATACACACACACACACACACTATGTTGCCTTCCAAATCATTGGATTCAGGTGTTCCAATCACCTCCATGGCCACAGGTATATAAAATCAAGCACCTAGGCATGCAGGCTGCTTCTACAAACATTTGTGAAAGAATGAGTTGCTCTCAGGAGCTCAGTGAATTCAAGCATGGTACCGTGATAAGTTTCCAGCCCTGCAAGCAATTAGTCCATCCCTGGAATTTCCTTGCTACTAAATATTGCATGGTCAACTGTTAGTGGCATTATAACAAAGTTAAAGCAACTGGGAACAGCAACAACTCAGCCACCAAGTGCTGAAGCCCATGGTGCGCCGAAGTCGCCAACTGTCTGCAGAATCAACAGCTAAAAACCTCCAAACTTCATGTGGCCTTCAGTTTACTACAACAACAGTACATAGAGAGCTTCATGGAATGGATTTCAATGGCCAAGCAGCTGCATCCAAGCCTTACATCACCCAGTGCAATGCAAAGCATCAGATGGAGTGGTGTAAAGCACGCTGCCACTGGACTCTAAAGCAGCGGAGACGTGTTCTCTGCAGTTATGAATCACGCTTCTCTGTCCGGCAATTCGATGAACATTTCTGGGTTTGGCGGTTGCCAGGAGAACGGTACTTGCCTGACTGCATTGTGCCAAATGTACAGTTCCATGGAGAGGGGGATTATGGCGTGGGGTTGTTTTTCAGGGGTTGGGCTTGGCCCCTTAGTTCCAGTGAAGGGAATTCCTAAGGGGCCAGCATACCAAGATATTGTTGACAATTTCATGCTCCCAGCTTTGTGTAACCAGTTTGGGGATGGCCCCTTCCTGTTCCCATATGACTGTGCACCTGTACACAAAGCAAGGTCCTGACCTCAACCCGACAGAACACCTTTGGGATGAATTAGAGTGGAGACTGCGAGGCAGTCCTTCTCGTCCGACATCCATGCCTGACCTCACAAATGCGCTTCTGGAAGAATAGTCAAACATTCCCATAGACACACTCCTAAACCTTGTGAACAGCCTTCCGGGAAGAGTTGAAGCTGTTATAGTAGCTAAGGGTGGGCCAACTCAATATTGAACCCTACGGACTAAGACTGGGATGCCAATAAGGTTCATGTGCGTGTAAAGGCAGGTATCCCAATTCTTTTGGCAATATAGTGTATAAGGTATCCCAATTCTTTTGGCAATATAGTGTATATGCTCACCGGCCACTTTATTAGGTACACCTTGCTAGTACCTGGTTGTATCCCCTTTTGCCTTCAGAACTGCCTTCATTCTCCATGGCATAGATTTAACAAAGTGTTGTAAACATTCTTCAGAGATTTTGGTCCATATTGACGAGTTACTGTTGCCTATCATCTTGAACCAGTCTGCCCATTCTCCTCTGATATCAACAAGGCATTTTCGTCCATACAACTACTGCTCACTGGCTATTTTTTTATTTCAAAAACTGCTTATCTACTGGGATTTTCATTCACTACCATCTCTAGGGTTTACAGAGAATGAACAGACCAACTCGTCTGGCACCAACAACCATGCCATGTTCAAAGTCACTTAAATCCCCTTTCTTCCCCATTCTGATGCTTGGTTTGAACTTCAGCAAGTCATTTCCACCACATCTAGATGCCTAAATGCATGTTGCTGCCATGTGATTGGCTGATTAGCAATTTGTGTTACCAAGCAGTTGAACAGGTGTACCTAATAAAGTGGCCAGTGCATTTATACAGTCATGCCCAAAAATATTGGCACCCCTGCATTTCTGACAGACAATGCACCACTTCGCTCACAAAAATTGTTGCAATTACAAATGTTTAGGCATTCTTATGTTTCTTTTGTTTGTATTGGTATGGCACAAAAAAAGTAGAGAAATAAAAAGCCCAATCTGACACATTCCATGCGAAACCCCAAAAATGGACTGGAGAAAATTATTGTCACCTTCTCAAAATTGTAAGAAATAATTGCATTCCAAGTTTGTGATGCTCCTGTAATTTGTAATTAAACTCACCTGTATCAATTACCAGGTGCTGTCAATACAGAGATCACATTGGCATCAGTTAAAATGGTGAAAAATCGATTCGACCTTTCTGTTGTGTCTCTCTGTGTGCCACATGGAGCATGGAATAGAGAAAGAGCAGCAAAGAATTGTCTGAGGATTTGAGAACAAATATTGTGGAAAAGCATGGACATTTTCAAGGTTACAAGTCCATCTCCAGAGATCTTAATGTTCCTGTGTCCATTGTGCACAACATTATCATGAAGTTTACAGCCCATGGCACTGTAGCTAATCTCCCTGGACGTGGACGAAAGAGAAAAATTAATCAAAGATTGCAACAAAGGATTGTTCAAATGGTGGATAAAGAACCTCGATCAACTTCCAGACAAATTCAAGTTAACCTTTAGGCACAGGGTACAACTGTGTCAGCTCGCACTATACATTGCACTATACATTGCCATGTAAATGAAAAGGGACGCTATGGTAGGAAACCCAGGAGAACCCCACTGCTGTCACAGAAACACAAAAATGCCAGAATGGAGTTTGCAAAAACTTATCTGAGGAAGCCAATATCATTTTGGGAGAATGTGCTGTGGATAGACGAAACAAAATTACACATTTTTGGTAAAGCCCATCATTCTACTGGTTTCAGATAAAGAAATTAGGCCTTTAACCACTAGCCCAGGGCACTTATACCCCCTTCCTGCCCAGGCCAATTTCCAGCTTTCAGTGCTGTTGCATTATGAATGACAATTGTGCGGTCATGCAACGCTGTACCCATATGAAATTTTTATCATTTTTTTTGTGACAGACAGAACTTTATTTTGGTGGTATTTAATCACCTCTAGGTTTTTTTATTTTTTCTTGAACCAAAAACCACCGAAAAATTTAAAAAAAAAGTTTTTTCTTCATTTTTGTTATAAAATTTTGTAAATAAGTGATTTTTCTCCTTCACTGGTATGCGTTAATGAGGCTGCACTGATGGACCCTGATAGGTGGCACTGATGGGAACTGATGAAGAGGCACTGATGGGCATTGACAGGCATCACTGATGGGCACTGAAATGCAGCACTCATATATGACACTGATAGGCAGCACTGACGGGCACTGATAGGCGGCACTGATTGGCAGCACTGATAAGTAGCACTGACTGGCACTGATGGGTGACACTGAAAGACAGGTGGGCACTGATATGTGGCATCGATGGGCACTGAAATGTTGCACTGATGGGGGCACTGGCAGGTGGCATGGATGAGCACTGAGAGCTGGCACTGATGGACACTGACAGCTGGCACTGCTGGGGCTACACAGATCATCAGGGCACACTGATAATCAGTGCTCTGATGATCTGTGTACATGTCCCCTCCGAGGAATGCCGATTACCGCTCTCCTCTCCTCACAAGCTGTCAGCATGACAGCTCGTGGGGAGAGAAATACCGATAACCGGCATTTCCCTGTTTACATGTGATCAGACACAGCTGATCACATGACTGAGCTGTCATCTTGGACTCTGTTGATCGGTGATCCGCTGTGTCTGAGGGACACAGCGTACTGCCGATCTCCGCTCTGCACGCTCCCGGAGGCACGCATGCGCGGTTAGAATGGGAGGACATCATATGATGTCCTCCCAGAACGAGAGAACCGCCTTGCATCCGTCATTTTACTATATGGCGGGCGGGAAGCGGTTAAAGAAAATAATACAGTCCCTACAGTTAAGCATGGTGGAAGTTCACTGATGTTTTGGAGTTGCTTTGCTGCTTCAGGCACTGGATGTCTGGACTGAGTGCATGGCATTATAAAATCTGAAGTCTACCAAAGAATTCAGGGGTGCAATGTAGTGCCCAGTGTCAGAAAGTTGGGTCTCCGTCAGAGGTCATGCATCTTACAACAGGACAATGACCCAAAGCACACATCAAAGAGCACCCAGAAACGGTTTCAGACAAAGTGCTGGAGAGTACTTAACTGGCCAGCAATATGTCCAGATCTCAATCCTATAGAACACCTGTGGAGAGATCTCAAAACAGCAGTTGGGAAATTAACCCTTCCAATGTGAGAGACCTGGAGCATTTGGCAAAAGAAGAGTGCTCCAAATTTCCAGTAGAGAGGTATAAGAAACTAATTGATGGTTACAGGAAGCAATTGATTTCAGTTAGTTTTTCCAAGGGTTGTAATACCAAATATTAAATTGAGGGCGCCAATAATTTTGTCCAGTCCATTTTTGGGGTTTGCATGACATGCTTCAGATTTGGCTTTTGTTTCCCCATTTTTTTTTGTCATACCGATACAAGCAAAAGAAATGAACATGAGAATGCCTAAACATTTGTAATTGCAACAATTTTCTTTTCCTAGATTTTAAGCTCTAAAGAGCAGGGCCCTCAATCCCCTCATGTTTTGCATTGTATTGTTATTGTTCTGTCACATGTTCTGTCCCCCTTTGTAATGTACAGCGCTGAGCGAACTATTGGCGCTTTATAAATACTGTATAATAATAATAATAATAATTTTCTGAGCGAAGTGGTGCGTTATCTGACAGAAATGCAGGGGTGCCAATATTGTTGGCCATGACTGTATATATTGAAGCACAATTATGATTTACGTTCATTTGGTATTTTACATTGTTTTTTGGTGTAGGAATCAGTGCAGCACATTCTTTACACTTATGTTGAGCGATTTTTCACTTTCATGCATGCTGTTTTAGTTTAGTTCACTACTGCTGCGCAGTCATGCTTTTCACTAAGTTGTCTAATATGCCTATTTTGGACATAAGCAATGTTGATGTCTTATGAACGTTTTTATTTTCTGATTCTTCAAAATTCTAGTCTACTTATGTATATCATATTATGTATCTTATTCTCTTTAAACTCTGAACTCGGATATTTTTTATAAACGTTTAACAAAATAAGACTTAAACATCTGAGGAACACCTTGAAATTGAGCCAAAAATAAAATTACTTGGGGCAGATCTCTTTGATCAGATCACACCATTAATATGTGTGAAGCTTGGGTGTAAATATTGATAAATAGACCTCTAAGCTAAAAGACCGACAAAGGTAAAAAATATTTCATAATATGAAATCTTAAGAGAAATATTGTCATAAGAGCAATATTACTTCACAGGAACAAACAGAGTAAACAATGAATGGAAGCAGAGGCCATTCATCTTTAAAACATAATTGTTTCCATAATTGTACTGCTTGGAAATGTAAATTACATTAGTTTATAGACTGGTACCCATCTGGTTATAAAATTTATTACCTGGACATATGCGATAAGTTTGTGGTAAATGGCGTCCCTGGGCTATGTAACATATTTAGTGGTGTGTGGTAGTAGTTCCCAACAGAAGTACTAATCAAAATGGAATAATAAATATGATGAAGTATAATTAAAAGTATAGCACACATAAATGTAACTAGAGCTCTATTTGGGCTTTTACAGTCAGGGAGATGTAGAAAAGTTTAAAAAAAAAAAACCCCAGTATTTCTGTATGGCTCTTCCTCTCCTGCATGTCACTGTAGGTAGGTCTTTGTCATACAAAAATAGCTAAAACCTGACATTCCTTGACTCCATACACACGAGCCTCTGCTTCAGACACTACGTGATACAGCAAGTATATGATCTGCAGCATTAATACGAACATTCCATGTCCTAGAGATTTTGGAATGCCTGGAACTTACACATCTATAGTCTTCTTCCAAAGAAGCCATAACTTGCATGCAGAGAGCTAATTATTGGGGTTGTCAGTTTTCATAGTGAGCTCATTCACACATTGAGGACATAAGCATAGGTTAACAGGTACAATTAAATGCAATAAAATTTCACATATTTATGGTATGCTCATTAAATGGGCGTATTTCTTATGTCAACAAGATCATCTAGAAGAGTAAAACTTGTTTTACTCCATGGTCACACGACAGCTGGCACCCCAGTCCATGTTTCTCCAGCACCCCAATGTGGGCAGGAATCACTACATCATTACTTACAATAAAGGGCCAGTGGTGGATTCCTACATTGTATGTGATGATGTTGAAGGAGGGGTGTGGCGACAAATTCGGTAGAAGAACAGAATGAGTGGCTTTGGAGGACTGGTCTTCACAACCAGAACCAGCAAGAAAGAAGGCTACAGGACTTTGGATTAAGGCAAGTTTGTGTTAAAGCATTCTGTAAGGGAATTCCAGTACGGCAACTGGCACATAGCTATGCGCATAGCATCGCTCATAGGAACAAGCATAGGCTTGCGCATGTGTGCAGAAATGCATGCACGCGGGAGCGTGTCCACAGTTTCTGGCACCAGACGGGCTATTTATGGGATGCTTTTGCTTACTGTCAGTGCTGACTGGCCCTCAGTTTCTCCTGTGTCCTGAGTGTATCCTGTATCTGATTTGCGTTGATGACCCAGCTTGTTATTGACCTGACCCTGGATTCTGCCTGTACCTCTATCTGTTCCTGACCCCATCTTCACTGCTAACCAAGTTGCTGCCTACACTTCTGTACCTCGTTGGTCACCTACTACTGACCTTGGCTACCTCTGTGACCTTGCTCCTGCTTCCGACTTGGCTTCATACTACTTCTGAGTATCTGCCTCGGCTATCCTTCATAACTTCTCCAGTCATTGCAGTGTGTTCTTGCCTAAAGCTTGCTGAGAGCTTCCACAAGCCACAGTTCCAGAACCTGCAGTACATGTGGAGTGCCCCTTTAGCCTTGGCTGGTCCAGCGTGCATCACACCCTCTCCTGGTCTTATGTCCTGCCTGACTTGATGTCAAGCCTGCATCTCCTGCCGCAAGTTCTTCTATCATCACCTGCCGGCACTCGAGTTCCTCCTGTCCCTCTGTACCATCTGTTCTATCTTCAGTGGAGCCTGGGCTGGAAATACAACAGAGGTTAACCTCATCAATTCAGTCTCCTACCAGGTAATTGATACATTCCTTTGACAAAAAAATATATACGAATTGCTTCCCCCATGGAAGGGAAGTGCACAGTTTTTATGACTTACATTTCAGCTGGCCAAGTTGGGCCTTAAACGACTGCCCAAAAAAATTATTGTAAACAATGTTAGAATTCACAACTGTTTTTGAAATGTTTCCTTTCAGAAGACTGTGACTATTTTGCTATTGGGTGGTTTTTAACATCTATGGAATTCCAGCAAATATGAATCCTCTGGGATCCCCCTGCACAAAGGAAAAGCAGTAATATTTTCCTTAGTACCATGTGTACCAACATGAACAGTAGTGAGTATAGCAGCGGACCTACTGGAGGGGGGTACTTACACTTGAACTATCAATCATAAAGCATTGTACAAGATGCTATACTAGAAACTATAATATCAAAAATAAATTCCCTGCTTATGGAAGTTGGGGATAGTGTGAGCGGTTCTTCAAATAACCGGTTGCTGATTTTGCATTTCGGGTAAGGAGCACGTGACCACCCTACCCTCGCCGCCGTTGGGGCCGCGGGTGTCAATTGCCGTGTCCCGGCCGGTGATTACCTGCTGGAGCCCGGCGATTAGTTAACCCTTTGATTGCCTCCAAAAGTTAACCCCTTCTTCCCCAGTGCAATTAGTACAGTGTCTGTTTTTTTTTTTTTTTGCACTGATCACTGTATTGGTGTCACTGGGGATGTGAGTGACCCCAAGTCAGTTCCCCCCCGTGTCAGAATGTCTGCTACAGTCCTGCCATAAGTTGCTGATCGCCCCGATTATTAACCACTTGAGCTCCAGAGGATTTACCCCCCTTAATGACCAGGCCTTTTTTTGCTGTTTGGCGCTGCACTAATTCAAATGATAATTGCGCGGTCATGCAATGCTGTACCCAAACAAAATTTACGTCCTTTTTTTCACACAAATAGAGCTTTCTTTTGTTGGTATTTGATCACCTGTGCGCTTTTTATTTTTTGCGCTATAAACAAAAAAAAAACACGAAAATTTTGAAAAAAAAAACCAATATTTTCTACTTTCAGCTATAAAAAATATATCGTAAACTCAAAGTTAATCATACATTTAAGCCAAAATGTATTCTGCTACATGTTTTTTGGTATATTGGACCCGGGGGCCGGACCAAGAGAAGATGAATGATGTGTATGTGTGAATTAATATAAATTAAATTAAAATTTGTAACATTAAATGTTTAGATTAATTTAAGGTAGAAAAGCATAAAAAGAGTTATTTTACAAAACTTTTATGCCCCCCACTAGCTGCTGGCCGGCCCAGCCACTACCATGCCATCCATAGTAAGTATAGTAATATTCCCCCATAGTAAGCATAGTAATTAATCCCCCATAGTAATTTATCCCCCATAGTAATTCATCCCCCCTATAGTAATTCATTCCCCATATTAATTCATCCCCCATATAGTATTTCATCCCCCATAGTACTATTCCCCCCCCCCAAGTAGTAAGCCAAGTCCCCCCTGTGTCAATTTACTTACCTTTGCTCCGCGCGTTCCTCTCGCCGTGTTCCCCGCGCCGTTCCGGTCTTCAGGGCGGACTGTGAGAGGAGCCTAGCTCCCCTCACGTTCGTC